AGATTGTTTGATAAATTTCATCCTGGATTCAGCCACAGCCATGCTACTGAGGCTGCCCTTGTCAAAGTCATAAATGGCTTGAATGCCGCTGCTGAAAAGGAAGCCTGGCCTTGTTTGTACTATCAGATCTAGCCATGGGGGGGTTATTCTGTAAAAGGCTGGATTCTGTTGCAGTGCCTAGGTGACTGGCTAGTGTTGACTGAGAATGCGTTGAAATGGTTCCAGTGGTACTTGATTGCTTTCCCCAATCAACATAGTAGGGTAAATTCTCCTCGAGAGCAGCCAGTTTCACATAATGACACTTGATCCCAGGGAGAATTCACCAGCGGCCTGACTTAGTTGGCACTGATGCTTTGCGCTCTTTCTCTTGCCTTTCAGAGAGATATATGAGATGCATTAGAGCAGTGTATTAGAACTCCTTTTTGGCTTTGTTGGAGATGACTATATTTCTAAAAGTACCAACAATCAGATATTCAGAAACAAAAGGCTTTCTTGTGCAGTCAAGATTATTAATAGAGATAAAACACTTGTTTGTACCTGTTAATTTGAAGTCAGACTTCTCTTTAATTTTTTTTTTTTTTAAAGAGAGGTCTGAATTCTGTTTGTAAATCTGAAGTGACAGTGCTGACACCAATAGATACATACAGTTGTAAATAACTTAAGAGGAGACTCTGACTCAATTATCTGAAAACCAGAAGTCACTGAACAACTTTCTGTGGGACTTCAGTTTACATTCATGGCCAGTAAGCCTAACAGACTCCAGTGCTTCTTCTGCTACTCACATGCACTCCAGTTCAACCAGTAGTCTGGTACCATTTTAATACTGCAGAAATTTTCTCTATTCTCTGGCTTCTCAGGCTGTAGCGAGGCTGTGATCTGCAGAAGGATTGCAAATCTTCACCCAAAGACCTGAAAAGGGGTTTAGCCATAGATCTTTCTGAATCTCATCAGTGGGAAAACAGATTTGCTTCTCCTCAAGATGCCTCTCATCAATAACACGTTATCTGAAATTAGCATCCAATGAGATTACCTGCAAATTCTCCAGTCTGAGATTATCACCAATGTAACTAAATAGGCCAAGCTGCAGAGGAAATTTGGATGAACCTTTACATTTGTAACAGATATGGGTTCTCAGTCACTATAACATAAAGGTCTGTAAAATCAGAGCATGATTAACAATCTTCTGTGAACTTCATAGATATGAAATATTCAGTGTGCAAAAGAGCTATCCTGAGTAATTAATTTATGCATCAGCTTTCTCATGTGTCTTCATATGTCCATGAGCTGAGGTAACCTGTTAATCTTCAAGGAGCTTATAGAAGGGGGTTTTTTTCCTGTTTTTTTTTACTTCATGACATAATAATATAAACTAGTATACTGGATTTAAAAAGACAAATGATGTTCATGTGTAGTGGGAGCCTAAACAAAACTGAATTTGAAACCTTTCTTATTAAAAAATCAGGAAAAAATTAAATCCAAGCACATCCTTATTGTGTTACTAAAATGATATAAGAAATGTATGCAATGTACATAAACATACATTAAATCTAAAGGACATATCAGCTTTCCATTTTCACTCAACATGCACATTAGTAATCTGAATAGGAAGTTTATTAACATGTAGTGATAAATTGAAGAATAGTATTTCATAGATGGCATGAAGAGATCAGAATTTGACTCGGAGTGTTTCTTAATGCTATTGAACAAGCTCTGTTTAAAAAACTGGAAGAAAACATACCCTATCCATTTTTTCCCAATGAATTCTAATTTCTGTTAGGCATCCCCTGATTTGTAAACCAATCTTGTATTTTTCCTGTGGAAATACCTAAACATTCACGTTGAGAATATATATGCTTTGCTTTAAAATGGCCTTTTAATAGTTTCTTTTTTATATTAGGCTTCCCAAAAAACAATTGGACTTAGTACAAACCAATTACTTCGGTTCTTGCATATAGCAGGGTTCTCAAAGCAGGCTTCTTGGTTCAGTAATGGGCATGCCTCTTGCTAATACCCTCATTGCTAATCATAACTCGGGAGAATAAATCCTGCTACAAGTTGAAAACCATTTTACAATTAACTTATAAATAAGTAGACAATAATTACATTGTGTTATCTCTCTTTGTTTTTACAGCCCCTTATCATGCTTCAAACAAGCAAATTAGACATACAGTGTTGGGTGATATATGGGAGGGAATGTTGCAGAGGACGTATTTTAATGACCTGAGTTTGAAAGGATCGTGTAAAGGTTCATCACTTTGATCATTTCAGAGAGATGAGACCACTGTCTTGTTGATTTGCTCTGCTTTGCTTTGGGTTTTGGCACTTCACAGTAAACCATCTTACCTAGGTTATTGCACAAGATGAAGAGACAGGTCTTAACATTTTTTTAAGCTTTCAATGGCTCTGAAAACATAGCTATTTTTCTATATCAACCTAACACTGTTTCAATGTCTAATATTTCATAATTGACCAAGACTAAATCCAGATGGTTTGTTATTATCAAGATAATGTCAGTATCTTGCTGGGCACAGGAGGTATTTCCACTGCATTAGGTTATGAGATACTGGGTCACAAACCTGTCTTTAATCCCCTTTCTGACCTACTGAGTGGAGTAAGCTGGGGAGAAATTCCATTCCGAGGGAGAATAATACTTTAAAGAAAGTTGTATCAAAAGAACTGGTTTTCTTCATAACAAGATTTTTAAGGCAGAGGTCATTCAAAATTAGCCAGACTTTGAAATTTATTTCCATCTAGTGATATTTAGCCTTCCTTCTTTTCAAAATAAGGTTAACTAACCTTCCATGATGCAATTAAATGTCCTTGAAACTGTGTGCATATAACTAGAAGGAAACAGACTAAGTAAACGCATTGCCAAATAACCTTATGGTCTCAAGGAAGTGTATATGGCTGTCCTCTTCTGCCAAGATCTTCTTGCTCCCACTGATCTCAGTTATGGATCTCACCATGTTCTTACTGCTATCAGCAATAATATTTTATTCATCCATTCCACTGACTTCGGGTTTTAGATCTGTATCTTCTCTGACTGACACAAAACATTTTTTTAAACAAATGTGCTGAGAAATCCCAATTTCAAAAAAAAACCTAGTTAGGATTGTGTACTGGTTTGGGCTGGGATAGAGTTAATGTTCGTCATAGTAGCTCTTATGGTGCTCTGTTTTAGATTTGTGACCAAAACTGTGTTTACAACACAGGGATGTTTTCATTACTGCTGAGCAGTGCTTGCACACCCTCAAGGCCTTTTCTGTTTCACCACTTCACCAGCGAGCAGGCTGGGGGGGCACAAGAAGTTGGGAGGGGACACAGGGGGGCACAAGAAGTTGGGAGGGGACACAGCCAGGACAGGTGACCCCAACTGACCAAAGGGATATTCCTTATCATATGACATCATGTTCAGCAATAAAAGCTGGGGGAAGAAGGAGAAAGGGGGGACGTTCGGAGTGATGGCTTTTGTCTGCCCAAGTCACCATCACACATGATGGAGCCCTGCTGTCCTAGAGATGGCTGAACACCTGCCTGTTGATGGGAAGCAGTGGATGAATACCTTGTTCTGCTTTGCTTTATCTATTAGTCTGTCTTTATCTCAATGCACAAGTTTTCTCACTTTTACTCTTCTGATTCTCTCCCCCATCCCACTGGAGGGGATGTGAGTGAGCAACTGTGTGGGGCTGAGCTGCCGGCTGGGGTTAACCTATAACAGATTGCTGAGTGGCAATAATACCATATCATTTACAACACCAAGCACTTAAAAGCATGAATGGTAAAAACATCAGAATTCATACTCGGACTACTCAGGAATATTTCATTTTCAGGAGGTAAGGGCAAAGGGATGACACTCTAACCAATAGTAAGAAAACTATTTTGCAAGGCAAAACTTCCTTCTCTGAGAGAGACAAGGATATGGCAGTAACCACAGTATAAGCTGAGAAGAACCAGAACATGTTTTAGCTGAGTAGAGAAAGAAGGCAGCCATGTCCTACATATATGAGACTGGAAGAATCTGCAGGGTCAGGAAATGCGAAGACTTTTATGAGAGGCAACCACTGAAGATGTAAGGTTATGGCCTGAAATGACATGGCAAATGGCTATTCTCCACAGTGACTGGAAAAGGTGCAATAGGGAGAGCTTGTGGGAGGAGATGAAGAAAGTTCCTTCAGCCATGAGGAGCTCACTGAGGTGGTAACCAGACATTGCCAAGGTGACAGCAGTTTGTGCTTTCAGTTTGAATGGAAGTGGGTAAGTCTGGATCAGAAACGGACTTGTGAATTTCAGCAGAGACACAGCAGTTGAATTTGTGCCATGCAGTCAGTAGGTCAGGTAGGTTAAGGAAGGGATGGAGTCTCTGAGATCTGTTTGAGGAGAAATCAGTGGAGAAATTGGCATGAGCAACACTGGTGGAATTGCAGCAGGTGGCCCAGCACTGAGTCGGAGATGAACTCCAGGCAGCAAAAGTAAACAGCACTCTCAGCATGCTTACAGATAAGAGGGAGAAGGGGGGTGAGATGGTAGTTGTGGAGGCAAGCAGGTTCAATGTGTGTTTTCAAAGTGGAGAGATTAAACACACACTTGTTTTGAGAGGAGGGAGAAGCCAAGGCAAATGACAATGTACAGAGAGGAGTAGAAAAGAGTTAAGCAAGCACCAGGGAGAGGAGAAGACAGAATAGCTTGTTCTGCTTAACGCTTGTATCCGTTTTGCAGATCAAAACTGCACTAATTTGGGAAGCAGTTTATATAATCCATAAAAATGCATTTTATTAGCTTTTTTTTGCTTTGAATCACTGACTTCTAAAGAATGAGAACAGCCATAAATGCTATTGTCTCCACAGGCAGCAATTTGGAAATAGAAGATGCATGGTTACATGATAAGTGTATTTTCTTCATAAAAAATGTTTGCAAATCAGGTTTAAAATAAGGGAAAAATAACTTTAAAATATTCTGCACTTCAGAAAATAATAAAATGTCTTCTTATTTTCCCCTGGTAGGCCACGCAATGCAGATTACTTTATGCAGGAAGCTAAACGGAAGAAGCATAAAGCAGATGCAATGGTGAGAACATTTGCTTTCCAGTTATGTTGCTCCAAATTATTTTTGTAATGCAGTTTCTTCATCAGTGCAGTATTGCTGGGGTAATTATAAAATCTATTATAAGGATGGCTAGGCTTGTTAAATTAAGAAATGTTTATATAATCAAATGTTCATAGCCCAATAAACTATGACTTAACAAATAATGACTTACTGAGATAAAGGCCTGGATAAATAAAACTTTCCATTTATTCCTTTGCTTTAATTAGTAACTATAGTAATGGAGACTGTGTAAGGGATCTACATACCTATCTTCTCAGTTTAACTAGCTGGCTAGGTCCTATAATTGTATCGCCAAATTTGGTCTGGTGGTTGAGGTATTTGTACTTTTTTTAAAGAGCTTTGTCTCTTCAGTGCCAAAAGAATCCTGGTTTCATGGCAGACATTTCCTAACGTAATCAGAAGTGCACAAAGAGCTGTGTAACCCCAGAGGAACACCTTGAACAAAGGACGGTTGCAACAAACAGATTCTTGGCCCTGGCTTTGACGTGTTAAAAATGCAGCCAGTAAGAAAAGGGGGAATCTGAGGTTATATGGAGCACTAAGGAGGTGCTTGTCTTTCCAAACAAATGGGTGCAACGAAATACACAGTGCTCCAGGAGAGTTCTGCTTAGCCATCTCTCAAGCTTTCTCCAAGGCTACATTTGTCCAGCACTATGAATAAGCTAATACAGTCTTAAAAAACATTAGGCCTATGGGATGGCAGACACAATATGCGGGATGGAACACTGCATTAATATGGCTGTCCTGGAGGTGGGAGTAGCTGCAGTCCTGCCTTGCTCTGTCAGACAGACACTTTGTTGTTACAGCAGCAGGAAAGAAGAAAGGTAGCTCAGAGCCTCCGTTTCTTCACCTCTTTTTCTCAGCTGTGCAGAATGTAAAAAGGCCAAGGAAGCAGAAGCAGGCCCTTAATTTAGGACACTAACACTGAGTTTTACACTCTACCTGAGTTTATTAGCACAAATTTCCATGGTTTATTCAGTTCCATATTACTCTAAAGTGAGTCTTAAATCAGAAAATATCGTGGAGAAGTACAAATGGTACATTTTAGTGTGTTGCTTTAAACAGAATGGAAAAGATTACTTAATATGCAAAGGAAATTCTTAGCCTGAAGAGAAATGTTTTTATGGTAGACTCCCAGAAACAGGAGGTGCAAGCATTATTCTCTGCTCTGCCACAAGCTTCCTGCATGAAAGTCACTTAGGCACAGTTTAAATAGCCTCCCATCAGTATTAGGTTATTGAAATATCCTTCACATTCAGCTTCCCTACACAGTGGACCAGCACCTTCCTTACACCTTGTGAATTGCCCTTCGCAGGTACTTCTTCTCCCTCCTTGACTGTGTAGGGATCCTGGAGGAATTGCCATATTGCCAAAGTGCCTCCAGGCACTTTGAATCACCTTACTGGGCTCGATACCTCCTATTTTGGCACTGCAATACCTAACATAGGCACTTAGAGTGAGCAGCCTGAAAATTACTCTAAGTCTCTCTGCTCCTTAGTCCCCCATCTGTGAAACTGGGATAATAGTACTTCCACCCGCACAAGAGTGTCAGGGAGAGAAATATAATAAAAAGTTTGTGAAGTTCGCCGGTATGATCGCAATGGGAGTCATATAAGAACCTAAAATAGATTGAAGCCAGTGTGCCATTCCAAAGTTACTATTTAAAACCTTTATCCCTTGGAAAAGAATAAGGTCCATTAACCTTTCACTGTGTGCATCAGATTTCAACCAAATGCATCCAGTCCATTAATGGGCTTTATGTACCGCAGGAGTTCTGACTGAAGGAAAGAGAAGTCAGGACAGAGAGGTATTAGTATGATTCATCTCTATCCACACCAAAAATGAAATTCAGAGAGCAGATAAGTATTATGTAAGTGTGCATATATGAACATTATGTCCATATGGACTGTCATTGAGGACATATATGCAAGTATATCTATGTAAGTACACAAACACACACACACACAGAGTCAAAGAAGTACTGAAAATAGAAGAAATGGGGCAAGGAAGGAGGATGGCAGAAGAATCCGAAGGAGCAGAGCAGCCCCTGAAAGAGGAGGAGGATATAGGCAGAAAATGCCTGACAAGAGGAGAGTGTGGTCAAGCAGTACTGAAAATGGTAGGGAGAAGGAAAACATGAGAACAGAGATGAGCCTTTGAGTAAGAGTTAGTAGTCAAAGTATTTAATTTTCATTCTCTTAGTTCAAGCTAATCGTTATCTTTCTTTGTTGAATGATGAAAAACTACATTTGCAAAGATGTGTGAAACACTTTTTAATGAAAGCTGGAACAACAAGCCTGATGAGTTTGTGGAATTTCCAGCCCTGGAAGAGCTTTGGCAAACATTTGTCAGGAACGTCCTAGGCAGAGTTGATCCTTCTTTGGACACAAGAGTGTGGACTAAATAACACTCACAGCCTTTTTCAGCTCTACTTTCTGTATCTTACGATTTTCAGTGATACACACAGTTTGATGGGCTTTAGCTTTCTCATAGGAAAAATTGTGAATCTGAAGGTATACCAACTTGTGTCAAGTTTACAATTCATGCTGAGAAAATCCCATCAAATGTAACCATATCTTGATGATTACACTGTTTCTCTGTGTCCTTATTTTTTCCCTCTAGGTGGAAAAGTTTGGAAAGGCACTGAATTATGCAGAAGCAGCACTATCGTTCATTGAGTGTGGAAATGCAATGGAACAAGGCCCAATGGAATCTAAATCCCCTTATACAATGTATTCAGAAACAGTTGAACTCATCAGGTAGGAAGGGAGGAGATGACCTTGGGGGTCACTCTGTTTGTGCAAACATGCTCATCTACATTATCACATAATTCCCTAGATACAGTAAAAGGGGAGAAGTGAGGTTCTCCCAAGTGCCTGGTCAGTGATACATAATGTATAAGTATTATCTGTGATTTCTATGGAAATTAAATAAGGAAATTGCACAGAATGGAAAAAACAAAAAAAAAAAAAAAAACCACCAAAGCTTTTCATATTACTTGAGTTGCAAATTACTTCAACAGTTTCATTATATAAGTCCCATGCTACTCAAAAGAGAAAAATAATAATACATAATACCAAAACATTCTCATGGAGTGGTAGTTTGCAAAATGTTGCAACATGTTTAAGATTGCAGTTTAAAGGTTACCTGAAAGAAGATGTGAACAGTGATAGAAAAATGGACACTCAAGGTCCATTTGTTGTGTATGCTCCTACTGTAGCCAGCGGACTCCCAAAAGCAGTCCAGCTCACTCTAAATCTACCTCTACATTTAGTCACCTTCATGGCTCTCCAAACAGGACAGTCTAGAATTCAGTCCCACCTGCAGTCCCTATGAAGAAAGTTTGTCTCTTAAGTCCTTTTCCCTGTTATAATTGGTACTAGTAGTTAAGATTATTGACAGTGTCAGTGGAGAAAACAAAGGTCAAAATCGTCCCAGCAGCTGAGTGACTCTCTCCACAAGAGAGCGAACCCAGCCATGCTAGCAGAGAAAGCTGCACTGTCAGTGACCATGGCATCATGCCTCAGGACAGTCAACCACACAGCTCTCATCAGGACTAAGTTCTTAGGAAGTAAAACATCTTAATTTTTAATCCTATCCATAATGAAGCAAAGCTTCTAAAACAAATGCATTCTTTTGGATTTAGTGTTGATATGAAGATTTTCTCACATGTTAACAATTCCACTGGCGTTTTACTCCACTTAGGGCTGTCTTATGCATTTCAGTGGATTGAGGCCAGCTTTCTGACTGGAAGGTTATTAAACAAAATCAAGTATTTTTTTCAGTAAGAAAATAGTACATCCCATCTCTGCAATTCTTCCCTTCTTTTTTTGAAAAGGCAGAAAGCTCTTTCTTTGTCTTCCCTATCTTTTCTCAAGATAGCAAATATATGGTCCTGACTCTGGAAACGAATTTTGCTTGCAGATCCATAGCTTTCAATAATGTGTGTAGCTGTGGTTGTGTTGTAGTGTGAATTGCTGTTGATCTCACTTGCTGCAGCTCAGAAAAATAAGTGGTTTGCTAGGTATGGCTGTTAAAACAACATGTTCATACTGAATCTTTGCACAGATATCAGGATTAAAGTTTGAAAGCAAAGATAAGAAGAAACACAAGCAGCTAATTATGGGGAACAGGTATTTTTCTGGAAGCGAGCCCAGAAGTGCTGTGTGTTGTCCTAACCTTGTCCATTGTTCAGATATTCAGCTGGAAGCTGAGATTTCCAGAAACTAATTTGTGATTGCATAGCACATACACTCTTGAAACAGCAGTGCTACCTCTGTGGATGTTTAATATTTATAGAATTTGAATGTAATGTCATATGAGCAAAAATAGCTCTGAGCCACATGTTCCCCCTCTGCTGTGCTCTGCTTGGAGGAGCAAATCTGGGTAGACATGCTCAGAACTGGCAGGGTGAGGGCAGCACCAGCTTCAAGGCAGGCTGTCTGCCTTCAACTGCTGTGGAAACCTTTCTGCATGAACTCTGTGTAACTGGGTCTCCACAGCAGCAGAGGTTATTTCGGTAGGACAGCATCACCTTGCCAGCTGGGCTCCCCTCTGGACTGACGGATGTTCAGGGAAGTTACTACTGTTTAAAGAGTGCAAGGAGGCACTGCTAATGGCGAAACAGCTCTGAAACACAACCAGAAAAAGCACATTGTATGTCTGGTAACTTGAGCAAATATCTGTAAGGGGGCAGATCAAATAACATCGGCCAGCTTGGCTGTCTGACCAGTAATATAAAGCTGTCTCAGTTAACTCACATTGGCTTTTTTCCTTTTGTTTAAGGTACGCAGTGAGACTAAAAACCCACTCAGGCCCCAATGCCACGCCAGAAGACAAACAGCTGGCAGCATTATGGTTAGTAGATCAAGATTTCCTCAGAAGGCTTCTTTTCTGCAGTGAGACAGTTCTTAAAAATCAGATATTGGACACAGCTAGGTAGGATTATGTTGTCTATTGAAATTCAGATAATTCTTTCTGCTCCGCGAAGGTCCAGCCCTTGTATCACTGTACCAGGTCTGCATTCTGTCTCTGTAAATAAGCAATTCATACCTATTGACTGTGACAGGTCAGCTATGGTACGTCAGCATAATTAATTTTTAAATGCCTGATGGTTTGTTGTTTTTATGAGTGATGTACTTTTGTACCAATAGCTCAGTAATTTCTTTTGAGGCTGACATTTTAGGCTCGATAATCATAAATTATATTTATATTATATGGAGGGAGATACAGTGATGGTGGTAATTAAGCCTCTTGGATTACCTTCTAAATTGAGATTTCTAGACATATATGCACGCACCTTAGATTCTACAGGATGGTTGCCGATTGCTAGTAAATACTAAAATATTATTAAAATCTAATTTTAATTAATATCTATGTAGTTAATACATAAAATACCTATTACATGGTTACTGATTCTCAGTAAGTGGACATTTACAATCAGCAAGTGTGTTTTTAACATCTATTAACCATCTGTTAAAAACCCAAATTAAATGCATCTTTAGCCTCCATAAATAAGGAGTCCTAATTAAGCATTTGTAGGAAAAGGAACAAAATATTCAGAGCTGCAATTTTTTTTTTTTTTTAAATGCCCTTTCTTTGTCACTGCTTTGCTGTGCCATCGGGAGGAGCCCAGAATGCATTCATGGCAATTCCTTTAAAAACGCTTAGGTGGGAAAACAACTAAAGAACGGTTAAAAAAAAAGAAAAAGAAAAAAAAGGAAAAGCAATATTATGAAGGGTTGCTCAGAACTGCCGGAGCGCTTCGGCGTGTGCAGAACCACATCCAAATTCACAGAGCCGCTGCATCTGTTCCAGCAGAAAGGTCAGAGCGAGGGAAAGCAGCCGGTGCCTTCTCTGGGCCATGAATAGCAATCTTAACTCACCGTCTGCCAGCCAGCAGATGAGCTGACACCATTTGCATATGTGCTGTACCTGTGAAGGTGACAGAGTGAGAGTGATGGTGGCTGCGAGGCCACCGCGTCCCCCGGCTGCTCCCAGCGCCCGCCGGGCAGGCTGCCAGCCCACCGGCCCGCCCGGCTCCCCTTCTCCTAAGGAGAGGCTGTCCTCCAGCGGCCACAGGCAGAAATTCACCTGGCTGCTTTCAGGACGCGACACAGGCTGAGAAGCCCTGGCTGGGATTGGGGGGTTTTTTCCCCAAGAGGAATTTGTTCATTCGAAGGGTTTGCTGGGGTTTGGGCAGCTCCTGGGTGCGGGGAGATGGGGAGAGCTCTGCACTTCCAAACTCAAGTCGCCTTCTGGTGCTTCAGCTTGGCTCCGAGACTAAAAACTGCTTTTAAAAGTAAGGCCTCTGCTGCCAAAGGAGAAGTAAAACACACCAGATTTTTGCTTCCAAAGCTGTGTTACCAAGGGGCAATCCCACACTTGCCAGTCCAAAAGCTTGCTGGGAAAAGGTGGTGGCGAGCCCTCATTCAGAAAATAGACCGGTGCACCTAAAGCCGATAGCAAAGAAAAGAGTTTGTGCGTCCTGAATGCAGATTATCAGTTATTGTGATGCATAATTATAGTTAATAGCTATTACTCTCATTTAATTACATAGCATTAAAGGTGTGCAGCACTCTGCAGACTAACAAGGAGCACAAGGGCAGACAGTTCCGCTACAGTACATCGGGTTTTTCAGCCCGCTCCTGGTTTCCTCTGGGCAACAAATCAGGCAGGTGGCCTAGGAACAGCCTCCAGGCTCCAACGCAATCTCTGTTCTGCTTCCCGCAGAGGAGCTTGGCCAGTGAAATCTGGGCAGGTCCGATGTTTCCCTGTTTCCCAGCTATCTCCAGCTGCTGGAAGAGAGACCACTGGGTGTACACAAAATACACCCATTATAACTCTAGTTCATTATACAGGCTCCGGGCTCTTGTAATAAAGGCCCAGGATGAGATACACTAAAAGGATGCTTTTGCATTTACAAAAAGGAATAAAAAAAAAAAAAATGCACTTGTTGAGTTCCAGGCCTGTAATGACCTTTTCACAGAGAGGTCTTTGGTCAAGTGTGCAGACTTCAAGTCAGAGCCAAGGCCTGGGAACCCAACCCTGCAAACCCCTCTGAGTATGGTTAGTTTAGTACCTCACTGGTAGCATTTGTCAGTGTGACCTGTCCTGGCTGCAATACCCAGTCTTGCTCATGAATCCATGGCAAAATGTGAAGTACTGTGAACAAATGGTGATGAAAACCATAAGCAAGGTACTGTCAGCATTCCACTGTGTTAGTTTGAGAATTTAAGCTAATTAATTGGGATTTCTGTTCAGGGGGCACACTTTACCTTCTGCTTTCCCTTTTGTTCTAGTTACCGCTGCCTGGCCCTTCTGTACTGGAGGATGTTCCGACTCAAGAGAGACCATGCAGTCAAGTATTCGAAAGCGCTTATTGAGTATTTCAAGGTGCATTCTTTATGACATGTTTTTAAATTGGTGTGTCATTATGGGAAATACAGCATCTTACTAAAAAAGTAGCTGTGCTGGGCTTAGTTCTTCCCCTATGAAGCCAGTAGAGTTTTACCATAGAATCCCATGGCAACACCTGATGTCTAGTCAGTTCTAGAATTGAGTCAGTACTGTGTTCATGAGGGCCCCTCTTTGCAAAATACACACTGCGTCCCTTCATGAAGGATGAGAAATTTATTGTATTAACAAGCAGGTACTTTCAGATCATTCTTGGTTGATTGTCTAGTGCTATGCAGCTCTGTTGTGAATAGGTTTTGCAGATTTTGCTCTAAGAATCCCCTCCAGGCTTACACGACCCACCAGACTACCTGTGAGTTGGAGACTTTGATCTAGATCAGTCCTCAACTGCAGGGCTTCCACTTAGCACCATCGATAGGTAGGACAGTGCAGTGGGACATGTTCTTACCCAAGGAACTGGCAATCAGCCCACGCTGACTTCAGCGGGAGTTGTATGAAAGCATCAGAGGGCAACCAAACCGCCTGCCATGTACTTGGCACGGCACTGCTGGCTCCCCCTTCCTGCTTTGCTTTGCCTGCTACTGCTTCCATTTTCTACTCTCTGCCAGGTCCAAACCTTGGTTATTTTGGATAAGACAGGAAGTCATTCAAAGTATGTTAAAATATTTTATGTGACAGGCAACCTTTCTCTGGAAAGTATCTCAAGACCAAAACCTTCCAGGTGGAGCTCACCTAGCAGTCAGTCCATCCAGCATTTGATCTAACACAAAATTAGCCTTTATCTTTCTAATTAAAAAAAATACTATGAACATACAAGTGCTTTAAGACAAGCTGCTTTGCAGGACTTGTCTTTGAACACAGGACTCAGCTGTTAGGGGGATTTTTGCAGAGGGAGGTACCTTGAAATGAAAAACATCCATCCTTTGACATTTTGTTAATAAAAAAATTCAAATACAAGCACAAATGCTCATGACCAGATTCTGAACACATGAAGACAGTGAAGGAAATTGACAGATCTGTTATTGTCAAACTGAAATTGAAGTCACTGTAATTGCTTCTAAAAATTTAGCAATATATAATTCAACACGTTGTTTCTCTAACAAAGACTTGATTTCAGGGGAAAGAAATATGTTCCTATTACAGTACTTTATTTTTCTTTACCAGTTCAGAGAATACCTGCATTAAGAACAGGATGGTCAGGCTCTCAACCATGTAAAATGTCTCCTACTAGCAGACAGAAACTGTTTCACAGCAAACATAAAATGGACTTATACTCTGCTATAGCCAAGATGAGCTTGTTTTTTTGCAGAGCTCCTGCTGATATAATGATAGCGTAGTTTCACATTAGAAAGTATTCTCACCTTTGAAAGTAAAAATGGAAAAAAATCCATTTGCTGTAATTTTCAGTGGAAAACAAGCCAATTCTCCACTCATTTCATATTTGGTATCTAAAAGCTTTCAAAACCAAGTGACGTGAAATGCTGACTGCATTAAGAACTTCCACATATATTATCAATCAATGAAAGATTTTAAACCTTGTCACACACATTTGCAGGGAAAATTAGACACACTTTTCTTTTAGAAAAGAAAAAATGATTATTTAAATCTCCTTTTAAGCATTTTATTTCCATTATAAAAAAAAATTAATGCAGCAGAGAATTAAAAAGAAGCCACAGATATTCAGGGACGAGACACATTTGAGAGCATAAAGAAACCAGAATAATGAGTAGCAGTAAGCAAAGTGGGATAAGAGATGGTCCCTTACAATATTACACTCTTTAGAATCCTTACCCCCACCTTTCTGGTGCAGAACTGAGAGGAAGCTGGAGTAATATACCTAAAACATGAGAAAAAAGGTGTGGGAAGTGGTACAGTAAGGCAGAGGCTGGTTACATTTACAGCAGAAGTATCCTTCACTCCACTTCGGTTTTCATATTTTCCTGCCTCCAACTCTGTAAGTAAATAACGTGTACTCAGTTTCCATTACACTAGAAAGATGAAGGCCAGTAATTCTGAGACAGATCAGAAAAGAAAAGGAAAAAAAAAAAAAAAAGAAACTATTCTGTAAGAGGAACAAATGCCGACGATTCACGGGTTGGTTCTATTTAGGATGGTAAATGAGAACTTTTCGGTTTCTTCCTTTCACACCTTAGCCCTTCCTGCCAAAAAAAACCAAAACCCATCAAAGGAAGAGCCCCCTGTGGGACACTCCAAAGTTTAGTTTTCATACCACTTACATAGGATGTAGTATCAGTATCAAAATGCAGGAAGAATGCCAGGGTGCACACAGCACTGATGTGATCACTGCTAAAATACAGCCAGTTTTGGTGTGCACATGAAAGATGTGGGAACACAAGAGGAAGTTCAGAGGACACATCAAAACTGAGAAAACAAACTTTTTGAAGAGAGGCTCAGGACATGTGCCCAGCTTACTGCAGAACAGGTTAAGAGAGGATGTGATCATTGTGTATATGGAAACAGAGCTGATAATACCAGGTGACATGCAGTTTTGCTGGCATTGGAATTCAAAAGCTAGCACTGAAGTTCAGAAAATTAAATCTTGAAACCCTGAAACAGAATCTGTTTTTCTAACCATGAGGCCTGCTAAACATTAGAACAGGACACAGGAGAACAAGGAGGATAAATAGTGTCTTAAGATTTCTATATGACTGGCTATCCTTCTTAAAAAGAATAAAATAAAATAAAATTAAAAAGTAATTTATCTTCTGCTAAAAGTTCCTTGATTGGTGGAAAAGGGAAACTGCAGACGGAGTGTCCTGGGGAATTACTGGCCTTGAAATCTGTGAGGCTCCAAAGCCTCTTGTTTATCACTTTTCCTTCCTAAGCCATGGGACGCCAAGAGTTTTTGTACTGCTGTTAATGCTTGTAACTCCTGCAGCTTGCAACACCTGCAGCCTTGCATTTAAACAATATCCATAAACAGATCTCGAGCTGCAGGACTTCACTTGGTCTCCCATGGTTGTAAAGAAGGGAAGGTTGTTCTCCAGCACACAATTATCTGCGTGTATGGTTTCAGGGGAGAGTGCAAGGAGGTCACTTTGCTCTGAAGAATCAGAGACTGGCCATTGCTGAATATGAGGCTGCGGATGGGTTGGACTAGAAAAGTTTTGGTTTAGACTTCTGGTTTCTACATCCTTCTTTCTCACAGGCCCAGGATTAAATCAGTCACTGCATTTGGGAGAGGGGAGGAGTTTTTCCACAGGTCAAACGGGCAGGAACGTGCCAGTAAATTCTCACCAGCTCTTGCAGATTAACTACTAGAATCATTTTAGCTATTCAGTTTCTATTATTGCAGACACCTGAATTTCTCCTGCTCTGTAAACATAGTGCTTGTACAAGGTAGTCTCTCCTCAAGCAATAAAATTCTTTAGCCTAAGCACAGTCTGTATACCAGTGAGGGTCTTAACGACTGCAGGTATACAAGAGATCACACTAAATGATCTAATGTCCCTTTCGGGGACGGTCTGGGTAACCCTTCAGCTAGAACAACCACCAGTCTACAAGGGCAGTCTCTCTGACCCTGTGAATGCTGCCGTATTCAGACCAAGGAGAACAGCTCCAAGAGGAGCAATCGTGAACAACATTCTTCAGCCTGGTGGTTAAAACACCCATCTGAGCTGAGGGAGCCTCATGTTCACATCCCTGTGGTCAGCCAGGCTGAGCAGACTTGCACAGTCTCACAGGTCCTAGGGGAATGACATTTGTCTTTGGGGGCAGGAGGAAATCTGTCTGGTTTTCTCTATCACAAGAAATTCCAGCCTAAACCTCACAAAGAGTCCTAGCAGCACTTTCTTCTGAACTCCCAGGATTTCTGTGAAAAGTTTCTGTTTCAACTAACAGGTTTTCCTAATCTGCCCCCATCCCCAATAGACTGTGATTTGGGTCTGTGCTGCAGCACTGCTTCATCACAACACCAAACTAGGCTGAGTGGGTTTATTGCATCAGGAGACTTGAATAGTTCTATCTGCACAATTTTTTCTTTACATTTCTTTACTTTTATACTGCTTAATGTTCTTCATTTCATAGTCTTATATAAATTATAGGCATTGTGAATTATTTTTTCCTTTACAGAATTCATCAAAAGCTGCCCAGAACCCATCTCCTTGGGGTGCCAGTGGAAAGTAAGTCATACAGAAACTTACATCATTGGCAGTCAGATTGGCAGTCAGAAATTATATTTTCTTACCTGCAGTATGTTCTGATACTCTCATGGTTTTAATCCCAACACCTTTTAAGTAACTGTATTAACATCTGTTTCCAGGAGCACAGGCACTCCATCACCGATGTCCCCTAGCCCTTCTCCAGTCAGCTCTGTAGGATCCCAGGGGAGCACAGGGGCCCCTTCCCCATCTCCTATCATCAGCATCCCACAGCGCATTCATCAGATGGCCGCCAACCACGTCAGCATCACCAACAGCATCCTGCATAGCTATGACTACTGGGAGATGGCTGACAACCTGGCCAAGGAAAACAGAGGTGAGTGAGTCAAGGCAATGGACTATTCGAGAAGACTGTCACGTGATCAGGGAAATAACTATTTTGATAGGAATCCTGTCTGCAAGGTAGGACTGCAGAGGTGATTTTTTTTCTTCAGTCTGCTCCTAGGCTGTTCCAAAATGGCCCCAAAAGACAATTTTGATAGCCGTCTCTCTCAGAAGCATGTAACTTTTTTCTTTATTTGGCTGGTCAGGACTGGTGACAGAGAGGTCACAGACATAGCTATGGGTACCATTCAGTGCCATCTGTGTCATTCTGGAGAGAAAGGTTTGTGGGAGGTCAGGCAGCTTCCTGCCCCCCAAAGTCGTGGAGCTGGATGGGATGTGTTTAGCCAGACCACGTCAAAAAGCAGGAGCACACTTCCCTTCTGCAGAAGGAATAACATACCCCTAGCCCTCTCCCCACCCGAGCAGACACAGATGGGAATGAGGTACCTTGCTCCACCTTCAGAGCAAACTTCTATCAGCTGAACTGGTTTCCATGAGCAAGTGCCTCAGCACCTGACTTGATGGTAAAGTATTCCTTGGTTTTCAAGCTAATTTATGTATTTATGGCAGGGGCGTGGGCAGGATTCAAATCAAAATGGGGACACCTAACTGTAGGTGTGCGTATATGAGTTGAGGGGCTAATCTCCCATTGCAGTTGATGGAGCTTTGTTCAATACAAACAGCAGAGTTCAGAGAGCTATTCAGTTCACCCTGAAGGGGAGACAGGAACACAATTCAATTGCCTAACCATAGCTGCCAAATGCCATCCTTACCTACACAGCCACTCCAGAAGTCTCCTGTACGTCCTGTGTTAGATCTGCCATGCCAGGCTATATATATCAACTGCCTTTTGAGAGCACCTCAAATGGGCACTACATGCCTCCCAGCAGGCAACTGAATTAACTCCCTAGTGGCTAGTTAGCCAAATTACTCTGTAGGCTGGGTTGACCATGTTGTACAGGCCTCTATTTCTCTGTCATAGTAGCTTAAATATCTAGCATATGTACAGATAGACACTTGTGTGTAGACTTTTTGATGCAGTTGTCCTTAATCTCAAAATAAATCTTGCCCAGCATCTGTTTTCTTTATCAAGACTCACTGGAAATTAATGAAAAGCAAAGCCAAAGAACTCACTGTTTTGTTCTTTAAAAAGAAAATTGTTGTGCATCAGCCTGTAACATCATGAACCACAGGGCTTTAAAATTAATCTCACCAGCACTAAACTTTCATTCCCATGAAATGTTCAGCTTGACTCAATTTGCAAGAGAATAAAATCTATTAAAGGGTGACAAGTAGCAAATACAGCTTCACTCTTCTGATGCTGAATCTTTTTTTCCCTGTAGATTTTTTTAACGACTTGGACGCATTGATGGGACCTATCACCTTGCACAGCAGTATGGAGCATTTAGTTCAATACACTCAACAAGGACTTCACTGGGTGCGGAATAGCGCTCACTTGTCATAATGACTGTGTGCCATTCACATGGACAGTATACCTTCCATGGATAATTCAGTTATTCTGGACACTGTGCTACAGAAATAGTCAACCACAGCATTGATCCAAACAAAGGTGAATATTTCTTCAACATTGAGCAAAATTTTTCTGAGTGTAGACATGTGCATATGTACAATATACAATGATGTCTCTTCAGAATGAATTGTTCTGTACCACTCTCCAAACATCTTCACACACTAGAAATACTAGAAAGAACTGATCTTAATGCACAAAACATACCCTTTCTATTCTTGTGCTGAAAAACTCAGAAGCCAAAATCTCATGGGCTGATTGAACCAAGTGCAATAAGCACAGATCCCTATTCAGGAAAGCTCTCAATAGATTCTTAACTTTAAGCTTGTACTGAAATCCCATTGACTTCAGCAGAGCTTAAGCACATACACAAGGGCTTTCCTGGACTGGAATGGATGAGGGCAAATCATAGACATGGAGAGCTTTTACTGCGAGCATGGACATGCCACAGAAGTTTCAAAATTAATGTGCCATCCACCTGTTACTTCCCCACTGGGGCACACAGAGGAGTTGTGTAGTCCACATCAAGTTGGAGAAAGACGGCATTCCTTCATGTGCAATAAGTTTCAACAAATTGCGCACATTTGTTTATCTCCTGTCTTTTTAAATAACTTTAGCTCTTGTTCAGCTCCTCACCAACAGTATAACCTACCAGTATCAAGCAAAAAGCCTGAAAACACATACGCTGATAGCAAGAACTTAAAGGAGTTGGTCGAAAATTGCATTCTGTTACTGACACTAAAGAGATAAATGAAAAAATATGGCAAACTGCTATCCACTTAGTAAAGAAAATGTGTTAATTTCAGCTGCGTACACACAGAGGGACAGAGAGATATCTATAACAGCTGTTGGCTTTGCATGGGAAGGCTTCATCCCACAGATTTTTACTTTCATATCTTTTTCATCTAGCAGAAGCTTGCAGCATTTTCTTCTAGGCTGTATGGGAGCATTACATGCAATTTCCTTTATCTGGGAAGCTGAGTTTGCTGCTCATCAGGCTAAGAACTGTTTCCTATCATAATCCTCTCACTCTTCATGCATAATCCTCAACTAGGCTTTAATGTTTCTTGATTTATGGAATGTTTTCAATTTCTGTTGACAGGCTGTGTTTTTCATGCCAGAAGAATTAATCCCACAATAATTGGAGTTTAATTTGGGTCAGCTGGGGTCAAGGCCAGTTCATATCAACTGTGCTTGCATTCGGTGCATTTTTGTTCATTTTCAGTGGTTTTCACACATTTAGTTTTCTTTTTCTGTGTTGGAGATACAGGGGTTTTGCATCAGATTTACAGCCTTTACTCAAGTCAGCAGCTCCAGTGACTTTCAATGGACTGTTCTTGTCCAAGTCAGTGGTTGGACCCTTTGATTGTTGTTTTCTAATCTAATTTACTTATATCTTAAGGAAATGTGAGTACAAAAGACTCTTTCAATAGAAGATACAAGTAGAAGTAGCCACTGATATCGATGGTTGATTGATTGGTCCTTGATGCCTTTTTTTTTCCTCCCCCATTTTTGAAGAGCTGCATTTTGAAAAAAAGATACCAAACAGTGCAGCACGTTTGCTCAGTAAAATGTCTTTGGTGACACAGGCTGTATGTACCCTGTGGTAAAGAGTGGGCTTGAGAGCACACTGAGCCCCACATACCTGCATTTTTTGGTCAAGGCTGGTTACTGTAGCTCCAGCTGTCACTCAGAGCATTCACCCTGTTCTTTGAAGCAGCTCAGTGGGGTAGCTACTGAGGAACCGCTCAGCCCCAAGCCATCCTGAGCCAATATTTATGTGCCCATTGGTGCTCAGATGCTTCTCCCACAAGAGAAGTCCTGAGCTCAGGCTGTGGTCACCTCTTAGCATGGTCTTGAGTGTTACAGTGTGGCTGGCTTTAAGAGTGAACATGGACCTGCCTTTAAATGACAAAATACACATCCTCCAAGTCCTCCCATCACTCTTAACTCTGGCTCTTACCCACCCCAGAAGGAACACAATTTTTTTGGTCACAAGTATCATGGAGAACTTGATCGGTGCCTTTCTGTTTATCACTTGCCTGATCTTCAGCTGTGGAAGTCTGTCGTGATTTACTAGACTAGTAGCAATGGATTCTGTCAGCTGCTTCAATACCATATGAAGGTACTGTGGGATTTCTCCTCAGATTAGGAAAGTGAAATTCCAGTTAGACTAGCTTCTGTTTTCTTTGACAGTGCCTATGATGTTTATCTTCAGATAAGTTTGGGGGTTTTGGAGCCCTTACTGCTATTTGAGAAATTTTAGAAGTGACATATATTACTTGCCTTAAATGGAGTTTAGTTTTATTGCACATGTGGCATTTGAGTTTCAAATATGGAACTTTGAAGCATGTTTATTTTACTAAGATCGGGATATTTTTCTTAATCACGATGAACTCTTTGTATGGATGTAATATGTCAAGAAACTTCAAAGAAATGCAAGAATTAATGCTGTCCTGTTGTAACATTTCCAAGTACTAAGGATCTCATGTAGATGATTGTCCTTTCTTGTACCTTGTTCTTATATGGAATTATTCCAGCTAAAATACCCATTACTTCCATGGAAAAACACGCTGGGTTTTAGTTTTTGTGCTGGCATCATCTGTGTTGTCTGATGAGCACATTGAGCCTTAACTTCTGGTGGTGTAAGAGGATGAAATAGCAGCCATTTAAACCAACTAGATGTATAAATGGATTAGGGCTTTTGGCCTTCTCTCCATAGGGTTTATTGCAGCTATACTCTTTTGGTGAGATTACTTAGAATACTCTTTTGTGCAGACTATTTGCTGTATACGGTTGCTGCTGTTTAGATGACTGAATGTGGCATGGTGACAACAAATACTTCATTTCATCTTCTTAGGGCCTGGTCTGGAAAAGTGCATGTGGCTTTTAGGTCTGGTCCAATTAAGCATATGCTCCACCTTAAGAACCTGAATAGTCTTAGGCACCTCACCATGAGTCAAAGGTGCTCTGTGTGTTCTGGATGGGACCAGAGGAGACTGTCCTTTGGGGTTCCATGAAAGACACTGGCTTGTTTTAATCTGTTGTAAAAGTCCAGGAACATGCAGGCTTCTTTACGCCATAGCAATGTTCAGGTTCATTTGGGGAAAGTAAGAAGTCATTCTGTACAAATCCAGAAGGATTATGCCTGGAGGAAGAGGTTTTCTTACAAACAGAGGCTTCTGAATCAGTCAGGGTTGGTAAAGCAATGGGAATGGATTCAAAGGAACTATGTATCGTAGGTGGATGCAAAAAATACAGAGCAGCCTATAGGATCCTCACAGACAGCAAGATCATACAGGCCCCTTGGCCTTAATCCTTTATAGTATTCTGTGGTGGCATGAGTGACAGGTAAGAACAAAATGTATGCAGAGGTTCAAGTGTGGCCAAAAGCCAAGCATAGTCCTCCCTGTCGCACAGCAGGATATCCCAACCCCTTGTTTGCCTATTCTTTTATCCAAATATCGCAGGGCTCCAAAGGAAGAGATTATAGTGAACAGAGGACCTTAGGTAAAGGAGGTTAAGAAGATCAAGCCCTAAGTGTAGATACAAACACATATGTATATACTGTAAATCTAAATAGTAATAAAAGTCACTCAGCATGAAGGATATTACTAGTGCCTACCATTGATCATCAAGTACTCATCACTGAGCAGCCATACCACCTCAGAAGTGCAGTAGCTGTTATCAAAATAATTTGTGTGGCTAATTAATTTATAAGAAATGCACCTTTGGGACTGTGCCATAGTATCTCTCTTGTAATACAAATGTTCAACCATTTTTCATGGCTACTGATTCAAATCTACAACACTGAAATGTCAGGATATCTTTTTTTCCCTAGATGAGGACATATACTTAGACCTGGCTAATCTGCGCTTAGTTTATCTACCCAAGAGACTTTAGTAGTCACCAGCCTTAACGCATGTACAGTATATACTATTCACTGATTTAGTTGTAGGTTTTAATCCGAATGAAATTGGAATTTGTGAAATGACTTGGATTAATGGCATCTGCCTCAGATACCCTGCAGATGTGACATTAAATGATTCATGATTTTAAGCAGGAAAGGTTGAATTTTATGTAAATAACAGTGGATGAATTCCTTAATCTTTTTACAAGAAGGTTTTTTTTAAATGAAAAGATTGTCAAAGCAATAGGTATTTTAACTCCCCTAAATTTTCTGGAGGGTCATGGCTTCATGGTCAAAGCTATATTAAGAACATCTCCTTCTGCAATATGCCTTGCCTTTACATAATCCTCTTAATGCTTAATATGTCAGAAAGAAATGTTTCTTTTTCACAGCGATAGCAACGTTTCCCTCCCCCATTCAGGGAGAATCCTCAAACTAAAGAATAAAATCTCTTGGCACAATAGAAATACAAACAATGCCTGAAGAATATGGACTTGTTAAGATAACAATAGAAGTTTGGCTGGCACAGACCTAACATGCCTCTCGTTTTGATATCTTTTTGTGACCATTTACATCACATATTTGAACTCATTGTGTTTGAACTAGAGAATTAGTCTGATTTTCATGTCTTAAAAAGACCTGGTAGGTCTGATCACTATCATAATTATAATTGTTACATTAGCTTATGTGCTGTGCACTGAGGGCTGGGAAGGCATGTAACCATAGATAAATTTGTCAGAATGCATTCAGAAAAGCATTTGGATGATCTTATGTCTAGTCTGTCTCAAAAACTGGAGAACAATGTCTTTCACCCAATATTGTTAACCTGAAAATTTGGCTACTTTAATGTCTCTCATAAACCTACCATTTGCTCTCAATAAGGCCAAGACTCCATTTCCAGTGTCAATGGTTGCCATGATGTAAATTCTTCTTAAGGTTAATTAACAAACTGAGAAGGTCACTTTAGGCCCTGTTTGTGCTTACTTCACTAAAGCTACAGAGAGGAAAAACACTAAGATTTGGAGCATCCAAGGCTCCATCGTTCTTTCAAGACTATGGTTTTTCCTCAGTGAGACAGGCAGGATTCGGCTGGGGCTATTTCTTCATGTAATTCCTCTGCCTCCGCTTGCTGTCTGGCTCTATTGCTCTTGGTATTCCGCAAGTATGCCTGCACTTTCAGGGGTGTTTTCTACTTTGGCAGCCCAACCTACCTTTCAAACGGGATGCTAAAGCATGGAGCAAGTAACCCGCAGACTGCATAAAGGGCCTTGCTTTCCCCCACAAAACTGGCAGCAAATACAGCAAGGCTCCTTCTCTTTTCTGATCTGTGTAGCTTGAATCTCACACACTGTAGCTTGAATCCCAGCCTCATCCCTGCTGCCCTTGAAGGACTCCAGAGGGTCCAAGGAAAGCAACAGAATGACGAAAAAAATGGGGATTTCCTCTGTCCCAAGGCGCATATTCCTTTTTGGGAGTGAATATAGATAACAGCATGGATCATAAGGCACTCAGGTCTCATGTTTCTCATATGTACTAACACAGGGATACTTAACACTTATCTGCCTCATAGGGCTTTATGAGAATTAATTAATGTTTGCAAATCACTTTGTATCCTCAGAAGGA